AAAATACAAATTAAAAAAATAATATATATGTTTCAATACTAATTTTAATATTAATAGAAATTTTAATAATTTAATGAAATAAAATATTTCTATTTTACCTCTTTCAAAATGTTTACTTTTTGTTGAACTGTCCGTGTCTCTTTTTTTGATGAATTATTTTTCAAATCAAATTTTTCTATCTTCGGAATTGGTACATTAATTTTCCAAGTTTTGTTTTTTTCAAGACGTTCGTTCAAAGAAATTGGTATGCGCGTTCTTAGACTAGAACCTTTTAAAGAAGAAACTCTTCAAATATCAAGCGATAGCAATGTTACTGCCAGCATTGTTTTACCATTGTGTCATAATGTACATGATACATTAAATGAGTTCAAGCCTATCACTTATCCAGCAATGGAATTAAAACAAAATCTATTGAAAGAGATTGAAGCAAGGTATAAGGTTTTTGAAAGAAACAAGCTTCTTGTTATTGCAACTTTGCTTGATCCAAGATTCAAGAGAGTACAATTTTTCTATTCTGCCTCAGGAAGAAATATAACTATATTACAAATGTACAAAGAAATCAAAGATGAAGCAAGACAACAAGATTTTTTCTTACCAGAACAAAGTCCATCTACGTCAGATCAAGAGACTTCAAACTCTATTTGGGCGAAGCATATACAAAAATTAAAAAGAAATACAAATGATGGAAATGAATTGTCTGATGGACAAATGCCACCTCAGTTAAAATTATATTTCAGTTCTGCTCTGCTTTCATTGTCAGAAGATCCTATTTAAACCTAATTGGCTAAGTTGTAACATTTTCTCCTATATTGATGGAAGTTGCTTTGAAATATTGTATAATGATGGGTTCTTCCGTGGCTTCAGAGAGAGTTGTTTCGGCCATCAACAATGTCGTTATTGACAAAAGAAATAGATTAACAAATCGTCATATCGAGGAAGCCGTTTTCCTTTCTTATTTTACGAAAAATATATTTAAACAATAATTCTTGCATGTAATCTAAGATTATTTAAATTCAATTCGAATTTAATAAAAAAAATTATTTTACAGTTTATTTCGCAATTTATATAAATATTTTATTAAGTATAGTTTATAGAGTAATTAGTTCATTTATTATAAAAAATATATTAGTTTTTCTAATACAAGTATTAATTTTACAAACATCTAAGTCATTGTATTAATTTACTGATATAAGTTTTGTTTTTGAAAAAAATTTATATATATGTAAATTGTAATTTTAATTTATTTTTAATAAATATTTATCTTTTGCTTAATTTCAGCATTTACTATAAATTTTTTAAATCAATTTAAAGACCAGTGATATTACATTAGTCAATAATACATAAAAGGAAGGGTTTCGTTTGCTTACACGTTTCAAGCACAAATTACTTATATCAATTAGAGCTCCTGTTTAGATTCATCAATTATTTTGTGTTTAATCAAGATTATCGAGAATGTAAGTAAACAGAACTTTTTCTACATAAAATAAAAATTTTTGTTTATTATTATAAAATTTCAAGTATATTTTATAGATTTAGCTTTTTTTAAATTTACTATTTTATTATTTGATATATTCGATATAATGCCTACTCATTCAGGATAAATATAAATAATTTTTTAATTGATGAATATATTCATAGTCGATATTTTTGCTCGATATCGACAATTTTACCGCCCATGCGAATAAGTTCATCCGCGTCAAGGAATGGGTTTAGAGACGAGATACGACTGAGCGGAAAGCGGTTGACCTCTCAGAAGGAAGCGCCGCTCTTCGGGAAACATCTCTCGTTGAATAGACCAGAACAGTGTCGCCTTCTGGCAATCATGAGCAGAGAGAGAGCGAGAGAATGAGGGAGCGTATTTGATCGAGAATCGGATTGCTGACGACATCGTAGAGTAAAGCGGATTATGTAAGCGGTTTCTCTAATTAACTTAGGCCATAAAGAGTAGTGGAATACTAGGTCCCACATTACCATCGGTTGCATGATGTATGAAGTAATTGGCTTGGCCTCTTTAATTATCTCGTCCGATGAAGAGATGTTTTTCCTCGGCCATTCAGAAGGCGAGAGGCGAAGCCAGTCTGATCTATGCTACCATAGTTTATAGAAAGCGAATTCGTTACCTAGAAGCCCGGGCGATGCACAATTGACGGAATTCATCGTTGTCGAAGTATGATACCACTTTGCGTGTGAGATTCGAGAGTGAACGTCCGCCACTCAATTCGCGACGAATGTCTTCCATTTTGACCATGCTAAAGTCACTGTAGAATCGGTCCAACAGTGGCAGGCCACGCTCACGAGATTGAGCGTCCTGCTTACGAGTTCCATCAGTCGCGCTAGGAGAACCGAGTTGCTAGCAATTCTAGTCTAGGCACAGTTATCAGGTTAACCGGAGCCATTTTCGATTTACCAGCAAGTAACGCTATGGTTGTCTTACCCGTGCGAGACATAACGCGAATGTAGACGGCAGCCGCGTATGCCACAGAGGATGCATCAGCAAAACCTTAGATACGATCTTGCCTTAGATGGCTGGGTCAGATATGATCTTGCTTTAGGTGGTTGGATTATCAATGGCCTGATTTTAAATTAATGGATCATCGACTTTATACCTCTAGTTTAGGAGCTATTATTTTGACATAAAAAACATCCATCGTAACCCTCATATAACTTTTTGGGATTAATCGAGCCACACATGTTACTCCATTCTTTTAAATTATTATTTTCATTTTTATAGTAAAAATTGAAATAATAAAAATACGAGAAACAACCTCCAATCGTCTTGACCTTGACAAATGTTGTCAAGTGATGGCCCTGAACAATATTCAAAAAATTTTAGCCGTCAGTCAAACACCTCGGGTATCAATGCTAATACCAACAATATTGTAACTTTGAAGCCTTTTAACTCGAAAGATATTTAATGAAATAGTGTTTTGGAAAGCTCTCGAGGTATGCTATGCTCGAGATATGCTCGAGGTGTCCGTCTATCGGACACCTTGGATAATGTTAATATCGACGGTACTGTAACTTTCAAGCTTCATAACTTGAAAAATATTTATTGAAAAATAATTTTATTATAGTGTTTTGGAAAGCTCTTGAGGTGTGCTACAAGAATATATAATGAAAAATGGAGAGTTCCATTAAAAAAATTCAAAGTGCCTTTGTCCTGACCTTGACGACGCCACTCAGGGTCAAACCAATGTTATCATCTTTTATGTTTGAATTATTTTTAAAATTATATTTAACAGTAGTAATATTAGTAGTATTATAATTAGTACTAATTGTATATATTTTCTCCCAAATCATTATTAGAATCCATTTTTAAACATTTTTAAACATTTGACAGCGCCAAGTGTTTTTTACAAGATCGGAAGAGCACACG